ATATATATATATATATATAGTTTGAATGCTCTGATACAAGTTGCCTTCTCAGTGAAGCAATTGGCCATTGCATTCAATACAGACGAAGGAAAACTGTCGTAACACACTATTCTAAGAAATTAAGTTAATATACAAGATCATTTTTTTTATTAATTTCCTTCTTGTCGACAATAATTTATCTCTTTTAAATTGTTTGATTCGTGTTTTTGTTGTTTGTGAAGAATATTATTTTGTAACTTTCGTGTTTCATTACTTAATATGACCTCATTTATTTTAAAATAGGAGTAATTGTGTGTATATGAAAGAGTTATTAGGTTTTTTTAGGAGAGAGAAAATTGAAATATTCCCACTAAATGATTCATAAGCTAAATCATACAGAAATTATGATCCACAGCTTAACCCCTAAAAATAATAATGAGTTTTCTCTTTTAAAATAAAAGATTTAAGATATAAGAAGTTCTCAAATTTTAAATATTTTCACTTATTTTATGTCACATTTATTTGAATTGATAATCGAGATAAACAAGATTTTAATATCATTTGTGAGTTATTTAAAGAGGAAAATTGGAGTAAACTTATATAAGAGATATTAAGAAAATAATTTTTTTTAAGGATATTAAGAAAATAAAAAATAAAACTGTTATAGTAAAGAGCACTAAGAAATGATTGAAAGCAGTGATAGATTTATTTATTAGGATTCCACTTGAATCAATTTATAATTAACGTGACAGTTACTATAATGATTAAATACATTACAACTCATACATGCGAGAATGATATAGTTCGTGAAAACTCGTAGGATCAACAACAATCTCATTATCATAAACTAAATAAATACGTGGAGTAAGAAAAGAAAATCTATTTTTTTTTCTTGAATGGCGGTATATTTTTGTTAAAATAATGTTATAATAAATTGTAAGATTAATAATTAAAAAAAATCACATATTGTCCCAAAAGATAAAAGAAAAAAACGTCACGGGAAATTTGTATTAGGTAGATTGATTGTGATTATTAGCCCAAGAAAATACGAGCATGAGTGATTGGTTGAATTTATATTTTGATGTGCAGTGTGTGTTATTTTATACCTTTTTGAAGGTCTACCCCTTCCAACTAAAAAAGAAATCACATACGCAAATGAGAGTGTGGAATTAAGGCAATATACAAATCCAAATTATTACTATAACAGGAATCTTTGAGTATTTTAAACACTAATATTTAAATTAGAAGCTTGTCCAAGATCAATTTGTGACTGACAACTACGAATAATAATATATTTTAATTTTCTTAAGTTTTTAAATAAATCAATTTGGCCATGTCAAAGAGCATGAGTTAATGTTCATTGATGGAAGAGTGAAAGTCGAGCAAGTCACGATATTTTTTGTTAATCAACAATTATTCAATTGTTAAGAAGTAACACCTTAAAAGCCTTCACCTAATACTTATAGAATGCACTAAGGTCCAAACAGCTTACCTAATGCTTACAGGGAATGACGGATAGTGTTAGTAAGTGGATCCAAATTCGTGATGAATGATGGTTTAAAGTGACATTATGTTTAATTTAACTTCATAAATAATATATATAATGATTTTGTTATATCATTAATTGAAATAAAATCTATAACACACTTTACTTCTTGTTTTGGTATAGGCTGGTGGAGTGCAGTTAATTTTTGAATAGTTGTCCTATATCATTTTTGTTGCCTAACACGGTTCATTGTAATGATATTTGCAGAAAATATTCTAATGTTAAAGTTATTAAGTGACTAATTACAACTATTATGTCTTAAACTTTTATTTATAGCTTTTTCTATAAACTTGTTGTTAGAATTAGACTAATTACGATCTAATTTTATTAAATCTAATTATTGATTTGTTTAGCTTAATTAAATGACTAATTAGATTTGTTGAGTACCAATCGATTTCCTACCATCTTTGAGTATTAGTTTGATGTGATCTAATCAGTTTATATGGACATCTAAAAAAAGTCCAATAGGAATGATATAATAGTCTCATCAAGTTTATTCAGGATAGATCTTTTAATTTGATTTTAATATTATGTCAGTGATTGAAGTTATAATTTAATTTCACAAAAAATTATACTTTATTCATATATTACTATTTTGTTATATCTCTAATGTGACCCTAACCAAAGTAATTTTCCATTCCTAGCGAGATAAATGGAGGGTGGAAATGGATAACGTTGTTTCAAATAATCTAATTTATCATCTATGATTTCCTACAATTTTTCTACAGGATCTAAACATTGTGTTCCCACATATAATGCCACATAATGACTCCAAGCATTAACCGATCCACTTTTATTTATTTATTCATTAGTATTTCTTAAACATCGATAACTTCCATTATTATAGACATTAGTACATTACAATTTACACTATACACGACGGAGCAGTTCTGTCCGCATAAACCAATTATTGTTCCATATTCATATATATGTTAGCATGATTATTGCAGTACACCAGTATACTTAATAATTGAAACAATGGGTGTTGGTTGGTAACGAATCAAAGTGATTAATATAGACAGTTTGCTTTGAGCAATTGAAATTGTAGATGGGACCTTCAAACCGAATGCAGAATGGTTCACTCACAAAGTCAAGGTTACTGACTTTGAATCTCCCAAAAGAACATACTATTCAGGACTGTTTCATTGAATTATCAGAACATGCTCTGGCTAGAGATAAAATGGTGTTTTGTTACAAGCTCGATGCTGACTAATTCATAAACCTCCTAAACACAAGTATTTTAGTCAGGAAACAAAAAAAAAATGACAGTAATAAATGGTACTCTGTTTTCTTACCGAGTAATAAACCTCGTGTTATGGCAATGATGCCTTGTATGAACTTATTTGGAAGTGATGTTAGAAAATTGGCAGGAAGGAATAACAGCCTGATCTGAATGCTTAGCGCCAAGTTGAACAAAAGTATTGCTACTATGTACATTGTTTTCCAACCATGTGATGAGTTTGGTACTTTACTTTGATCATAAACTTAGACCGTGCATATCACCACTTACAAGCACACCTAAGGGAAGGCGCACCTAAAGCTCAACCTTTCTTTGATTTAAGCTGAAACCCAAGTAGAACAAGCCCTCCGGAGGTAAATGCAGACAAGAACGTTGAGAAGTAGAAAAGAGCAAGCAATGCTCCCTTTAAAGACTGCAGCCGAACATTTAGAGATTTTGATAATCAGATGTCAGTAGTTAACAGAAACAAGTTTAAGTGATGCGAGTGAGATGTTATTTCAAAGCACCTTAGCAAGCAGCAAAGCATTGTCGTTTGCATACTCCAAAGAACTGTCCGGAATGTTTTGAATTCCCTGAGCAATTTCCCACGAAAGAATCCTACATTCCAAATATAAACAACAACTAAGTTTTCCCCGTCTCCATCCTTTGTCTTATAAAAGTCTAGTTGAACTTCGAAACTTACCCAAAAACAAATCCAATTACAGCCCCGATATTGGCCTTGTCTGGTGTTATTTCAACCTGCAACTCTCCAAACTGCAGTTGGCAATCAGGTTACTAATTTTTCAAAGTCATAGTTTCTTATTGCATAAAACGTGCCATAGACAGAATAATTACAGACTTTCAGCACCCTCGTCTCCTCTTTCGTTTCTTCAACAGTCACTGCTGATGTTGAACTAGCAGATAGAGCTCTACCAGCTGCAATCATTGCTTTTGCAATCTACGAGAACATTGCAATATATTAGTATTACTGAGATAAAAATCATTACTTTAATTATGTTGACATAGATTCTATGTATTTCGTTGTTTAACCGGTTTTGTGAAAAAAAATCACCAAACTAGATTCCTAGCCGATGTGTTCCACTGATGTCCTAAAATTAGGTCATGTTTAGCCAAGCTTTTTTGGTCTTCTCTTCTTAAAAGTATAAGCTTCTTCAATTAGTTTCAATTAAAGTTACTTTTATTTTTAAGAGGTTTTCTAAAACATTACGTGTCGTGACCTTTTATAAGGAAAGTCCGAAATCAGCTATTTAAGCTACGAAATACACACAACCCCTAAGAAGTGATCAAAGTGAAGTAATTTGTGTCCTGATACTTAAGAAATGAATTGGATGCAAACGGCCTAATCATACTGACCTTTTAAAACATTAACAGCAAGAGAACTTGTGACCTACATCCAACGTAATTTGTCATTTGTTACGTTAAGAAACAATTAACGTCACTGGGCAAAAAGGATTGTATCCATGTATTTCCAAAGTATAGGGACTTAACAAAATCAAATTTTGAGATAAGAACAAAACCAAGATCGAGGTTTACGGATCAAAAAATTATAGTTAATCCTATTATATATGTTTTTAGTGAGAGAATATAACTTTAAAAAGAAGTTAAAATCATATCATATAGAGGGTAAATGGCCCCAAATATAGCCAACAAACTCGAAAAGAGCACAACCATTCATTCTAAACGGATACCAGCTAGTTATTTCCTGAAGAAATTCATTTTCTGATTAGAGATCCACTGGCACAGATGGAGTAGAGTACAATACCTTTTGTGGTTCACCTTGGCCATACTGTCCCATTGATTGAAACCTTCTTCCAGCAGATATTAAACGCTTTCCAAGTGCTAATCAACAAAAAGAACAAACACATCTTCAAGCGTAAATCCTAACTAGTTTTGAGGGAAGGGGGTGTTTGGCAGAACCTCATTGATTACTTTCTCATGGGTTTACCCGATTTGGCAGAACCTGTCAACTTGGCCTCAATCAAAGGAATCTTTTTCACTAAAGAGTGAGACATTGATGTGTCAGCAAGTTCCCAAGCTCGAGAGAGGTTTAGCAAAGTCTCTCCCAACTCTTGGCCACACTGAGAAATTATATTTATTCCCATTAAACAAAAATAACCATTATAACGAGAAATACACCAGACACACGCGGACATCTTTTGGAGGTAATTAATGTGTTAGAGCATCAAATGTAGTGCTTCAAGATAACGTCCACGAGTATATTGACAGTGATGGATAAAAAGCTCAATGACAAGGTCAAACATTAGCATTGTACATTGTAACACTCAAACTTAATTGGAATCTGAATGGGGTTGCGAATTATAGCCAGTAAAAGTACCAACCTCATCTAAAACAGGCCCGTTTGAAAGGTCGAACGCGGCGTCGTTTAGCTTAACAAAATTTAAAACACAAACATAGCAAATGAGCATATTTATATGACTATCGATTGATAGGGGAAACGATTGCATGATAATGCTGAAACGGGCAAAGCAAAGGATTTCATGGCACATACGTCTAATCGAAGGTCGCGGGGAAACTGTGCAAAGTAATCAGGAGGAAGATCTAAACTGCCCTGCAACGAAAGCACGCAAGAAATCTTGAATCACGAATTTACATTGAGAAAGGAGTATTTAGAAGTTGTGAAGTTGAAATTTTTAACTTACCCAGAAGAGAACGTTAAATTAGAAAGATGGAGTATGAATGACTTACAGCAATTTCTTGTAAAAGAGTTTGAGGGTCAGGTTCAATCGATTTGGGCGAGTCGGATTCAGTCAGAGCAAAACGCACAGAAAGAGGTTTGGGAAGATAAATGGAATTGGTGGCAGAAATAGGAGTGGCGAATTTGAGTGAGGAGGTTAGGGAAGCCAACTGATTGGGGTAACGGTGGGATATAGGAGCTGTCCAATACCAGAATTGAAGCGCAGCTGAAGCCATTTTTTCTTCCCAGGTTGGATTGGATTGAAGCAATGCAATTCAGTGGCAGCCACTAAATTTCCGGCACAAAATTTTAAATTAGCATGAGACTTATCTGTTCTTCCTTTTTTCATACGAGACACCAGTTAAATTTAATTAAATTCTTTAAAAAATAATGCTAATGTGCTTAATTAATTTTCTTTTTTTAATTAGTTTTCTACTGTTCATACTTTCATAATATTTGATAAAAGTAAGTAATGAAAACAAATGTAAAATTATGACATATCTTACGACAAACAGGATGGAGCAGTAGACAAATGAGCTTAATTTTTTTAAAAGGAAACTGGGACGTTTTATAATAAGTTAAATCTTTTTCGTTTTACCTGTGTGCAAGTGCAACTTTTCTTGAGTATAATGAGACCTAAACGAAAAGAAAAAGAAAAAAAGTGGCATAAGGATAGACATAATAGTGAGTGTGCTTGGAGGTCGAAGAAAGTGGACAGTGGCTTGCACAGATAAACTGAGGTCTTTCTTCATGCAATTTTCTTTTTACACCTCCAAATTTTATTTTAAAGAAAAATATGTTTTTCAAAAAAAAAATAAAATATATATATATATATATATATTAAATGAATTAGGTAAATACTAAGTACTGTTTACGTATTACTAAGATGTTGCATTCCCAAGTGAAAGTTCTCTTCTTCAACTTTCTTCTTTAAACGAGTTTAGCTTTTTCTTTGGCTTCCTTCAGGTACACATTTTATTCAGCTTTTTTTGTTATAATTTTTATTCTTCATTTAAAATCTAATATTTATTTTTATTATATTTTACATGTATTGGATTTAAAAATATAATTCATAAAAATATTAATTAAATATCAAAATTCAATTTAAGAAATCAACAAATACTTTATTTATAATCACTAATACAAAAAAGGTTTTTGACATCTATTATTTTCAATCTCTATTACTTTCAACCTTTTACTTCACAAAATAAAGGAAAACGTTGTTTGCCGTCAAAATCCGATGCACGTTGCAAATTTATAAATGTAGTAAAGAAATGTGTACCTTGTTCGATTTTCGTTGGACGACTTACTTGAAGGTTGGTTGCGGGTGCATTGTGAGGAGAGGATGTGTGCTGGTGAGTGATGGATGTGAGTGTCGAGGAGAAAGTGAGTGAGAAAAGGTAGGTGTGTAGGATAATTATAATGAAATGAAAATTATTATCCTTGTCAGAAGGTTAATTCATAGATTTAGAAAAGTTTGGAAATACAAGAAGAAAACTAGAAGGTGCAAGAAGAAAGCCGCAGAATTAATTCGTGCCAAAATGAGCCGCAAATTTCGGTTCACTGACCTTACACAAATTACCAGTAATTTCAATTCCCCTGAGATGGCTTCTAGTAATACATAATAATTGCACGTATGATAAAGAAAAAAATTACGCTTTCTCCTTATTGACGGATAGCATCCTTCAAATTTCTCGACTCCTACTCCGCACTAATGGAGAACAGGTGCGAAGTCAGGATCCATACACTTACCCAGAAAATTATCCAAAAGAATTTATGTATATGTCAAATGATAACGGTATATAATGGGAGTGCCAAAACCAATCGATCCCTGTGTGCGCGAACAAGCTTAGATAAATGTCTTTTCATCTTTCACTAGGTATTTACTTTAGACACTTGGTCTCAAAACATGCTAGAAAAATATGATCCTATTCTTTCAAACAATGTCCTGATAGACCTACAGACATATGGGATAGGGAGAAGGGAAATGGTTTACGGTGGAAGACTAGATCATACATTACTTGTAAAAGATAGGGAAAAAAGAGGACAATGTATAAGAAGTAGCAGCAATCCAACAAACAAGGCCCGATTTCTTGACACTTAAAGAAGTCCATATGCAACACAACAACATTTAACTAAAAAACTGTAATTTAAGTACTAGTCTAACTAGTCTAATGTGACTCCAGTTCCCTCCCAGTTTGAAAATTAAAGTATGTCTTACAATGAAACAAAGTCCAGCTCACAACACGAGTGAATGAAAATCCCGCGTTTTTGCTATTTTAGAAGTAGACCAACTTGCAAAGTAAACTACAAGCTTGCATTCCTGTATGTCTAAAAATAAAACTGTTCACGTATATATAATTTTTCACCCTAACACCAATGCATGTTAGTACATTTCTACAAAACAGAGAACAAATTCCTGCTTGATGAAGTATTCTAGTCAGCTTGCAGCCTTTGCAACCTTTCTTTGCTCAATTTGTCCAGTTACAGGGCACTGCATCTCAGTCCAACTAACTGGAACCATGGTTGCACCTAAACAGAAAAAATGTACAACAAATTGAGGCACAAGTGATTCAACCAAGTATTCTCTAGGAAAAGACAAATTGATATGTAAAACAACATTCCACAATGCACAGTCACATTAAATCATAGGCTTAAACGAAATAATCTATTTCAATTTGGCAGACATTGATTTAATCCCTACCTCATAGATGTCCAACCAATGCATGTGCACAACTTACAATGTAATTATTAGATTTTACTCCCGTGCTTGCTAAAAATAAGATGAACCAGAAATAGGCACGTAAAAAATGATAAAACAATTTATACAAAAATGAATTAAAAGCTAAACTTCAAGCTGTGTTCACCAAAATAAAGTTGAAGTAGAATCTAACATTTTATTTTTAATATCATCTCGAGTAGTATCCATTTATTCATAGATAATTTAGATTCCAGCTAAAATCATCACAAGTCAGCCATAATAGGTTCAAGTCTACCCACATCATTAAACTACTCCCACATACTTAAATGATAATTTTTGCTGTATTTAACTGGTTGACACTAACTGACAAATTGATGCAATTGTAGGGAATATTCAAAGAATCATATTATTCTAATAAAATTTAAATATGAATATATTCCCTTGGACTTCAGCAATACTTGACCTATCCTCATAGATAATAGATAATAGATAATAGATAATATTCCACAGTAGTCAATGACCCAGAAATTGTAAAAGTGGAAAGTATCAGACCTAGAGGAGCTTCCGTCAAACCCAAATGCAGTTTCAATGTTATTATTGCACCCCCTTTTTTCTAAGGAAAAACTTACAGAAGAAAAACTAAAGTCCCTAAATAGACATATAAAGGCAAACAACAGATATGTGCGACACAATAAACCGGGCTTAAGTAATACACAACAAACTAATTAAGCAAGCAGTCACACAAGTCCCAAAATATGAACCAAATCTCACCAGCAATGCTTTCAGCAGAAACAACACCAAGTTCATTCTTTGCAGTAGACAGAAAGTAGGCCCGTGCATCTCCAAGAGAAAGCTAACAAAAACATATGTTATTAAGGTGCTATTGAAGTAGCAACAAACAAATTTAAAAACATTAAGGAAAAATTGAAATGAACTTATCAAAACTCTTAAAAGAAAGTAATAATACCACAAGAGCTTTAACAATATCACCGGGATGAAAAGACAGGTGCATGTCTACTTTATCAATTTCAGTAGCTCTAACATCTTGCTGTCTGTTTTAAACACAACTCTCATCTTATCAGAATCCCAAAGTCAAACAAAATAAAATTCATGGTATAAAGATAATAATACATGTAACCGAAAGACGAAGAAACTCTAAGCATACGATATCTACAATCGATGACTACAATTCCTCTAATCCTTTTCTTCCCTTTTTTTTTTTCTGAAAGTGCTAAAGGCACTGTCTCTAAAGCTATAAAATATAACTTGATGGTGTAAGAATAGCATACCTGATAATGCCGGTAAATTTTTCTCGAACACACTTAGATCCAACACACATAATATCAGCAGAAGCGGACCGAGCCATTACTTTGGTGACCTATCAAATCAAAAGAGACGCAGTTGAAAACAGAGAGCGTGATGAAAAGTATATTAGACGATACATAGCCGTAGCCATAGATATGTATACCCGCACAATGACAACAGATCCAGGCTGTGGAACAGGTCCATGCGCCTTGTGACCAGTTACTTCAACAGTCGGCCTCTGCATGTTACAAATAATCACAATCAGAAACAGTACGGCACTATAATTTAAGCTCAACGTCAAATTAAACTAACAAAAACAGAATATATGTGTTGTTGGTGGATTGATTATCACGTGGAATGAGCAATGGAAAACGAAACCCTACCTTGTCAGGAGAGTCCGGCGGCGGAGGAATGGTACGGTGGAAGCCGGTTAGGGAGGCGTAAACGGTGTTGTTGTGAGGCGCTGCGTATGCTCCTCTCCCAGCTTTGACATCGCTGCTTCTTCCCAACACTTCTCCTGGTGTTACCATCACTGCTTCTTTCTCTTCTTCCATCGCGGCTCCCAACCCTTCCACTTAATTTTGGGCTTAGCCGCTACAAATTCACCGCTTCTTGAACCGGCCCTGTAATAAAAATAAACATATTGTTTTCAATTTGGGCGGGGTGCTTCTTATTTACTTGATAACACGTGAACTCCAATCATATTGTTTGTAAAAATGATTTTTTAAAATATATAATAATTATTTTTTAACTAAAAAGATTATATTCAAATAAGGTTATGTTTGGTATTATTATAAGTTTTAACATTTGACACTCAAAATTCATATTATATAAAAATTTATTAAAAATAAAATAATGTAAAATATTAGGATCAAATAAATCTCAAGATATAAATAAATTATATTTATTATGAAAAAATCTAAATAAATACATTCAACTAAAATATTAAATCGTATAAAATATTAAATCATTTATATTGTTATTTATGAATCAAAACTAAATTAGTTAACTTATTAACACCGTATTTTTATCCCTTTATTTTAACCCATTCATTTTAGTTTTTTTCCTTTCAAGGAATAACCTAACAATCTATAACAGAATTTAAATCATCTTATATCTTAGTCTCATAAATTAGAAAAGCATTCAAAATTTATTGTTGAATATTATAAATGAGGTCTTAATTATCTATCACCGGTCTATGTGTGTTTCAAAAAAATAAATTATTCAATTTTGCAAAATCCACATAGAACAACCAAAAGAACACATTCCAATAGCTATTAACGAGAGGATGACAATCTAGATCATACATCCATATCCTTAAACACTAAAAAG